CCCACCCACCACGCCATCCCTCCTTTTTAATTATAGTCAATTCATGTCTGACACCCCAGATATCCCACTGGCAGCACGACAGATGGAACATACCTGACCTTGAGACACGACAGATGGACGTACCTGGACTATGGCCTTGAGACACGACTCAAACGAGTTCTGTGAGGACGGGCATAGGTAGCTCATCAATTTGAGGCTCAGCTGCAGCACAGACAGCAACAGATCTAGCCAGACAGAGAGAACAAACATGGTGGCATATCCAGTTTTCTCTGTCGTCGCCATCATCATCATTATCATCACAATCATCGTCATCACAATCATCTTCATCATCATCATCATCATCACAATCATCATCATCATCATCACATTCATCATCATCATCATCATCACAATCGTCATCATCATCATCATCACATTTATCATCATCATCCACCAGTGCAATATCTGTGGCAGACAGACATCGCCGATCATGGTTCTCCATTCATTCATTTGCTCAGATGCTCTAAAAATAGCTGCAATACCCTGATCTTACCTCATTACCAATCTTTCAGGTTCTACAAGTAGGCTGTTCTGGGCCTACCCCTGCCTCCTTTGCCTTCAATTTTGTCAGCGAGAAATAGATCTTCAAGATCTATATGTCTATCCAGGGGTCCCAAAGACTGCATTTGTCTTTTCCTGTTTGTTTTTATTAGTAAGTGTTTCTATACCAAATTCAATTTGTGGCGTCGGTGGCCATGTGGTTATGCTGTTGGACTCGCAACCGTAAGGTCATATGTTCGAATCCCATCAGATGCCCCAACGTTGTGTCCTTGGGAAAGCACTCTACACGAATTCGAAAATGGATACCTGGCTATAGACAGTGAAAGATTTGGACAGTTCAATAGTGTTTGAGTACATGAAATCCACAGCTTTCACTGCACCCTTCCCGGGAAGCCAAGAATGTTTCTCAGTGTTCTAGGATGGTCTACTGGGCCGTTTTATGAAAGGAAAATTCTAAAATTATGCAAACTGAGCAAAAAAATGTGAAATTATGCGATTCTGTTACTTTTAACAAAGAATGATAAAGGAAAATAATCAGAAATGATGCAAAAAAATTATCAAATTTTTGCAAAATTATGCGGGGTGCATAAAACCACGGGGACAGAGTAATGAATATCAAGAGAGAACTTCAAACTCAAAACATCACTACTGAAAAGCATCACCATCGTCATCATCATCATCATCATCAGTAATGCCTTTCTCACCCTGCATCAGGGTATAGGACACGAACAAACATTGTCCATTTTTCTCTACCCTGGGTCAGCCCCTTGATGTTATTCCATATCTTCCCACTTTTCTGTGTACATCAAGTCTGTGATTCTTCTCGAGGTTCCACGCGGTCTTCCCTTTGACCTTTTACCTTGTGGACTCCAGTCTAACACTTACAGCAAAGCATGGAGTCTACATGACTTCACTTCTGTCTTACCGATGCCTTCAGGAGGACGGTTGCACGGAAACAGGAACTTCATTTGACTCAGGGCCTTGCATGATTGGGCTCGCAGCGTTCTTAGCGTGCCCTGCAAGATCTCCAGCTGAGGAAACGATGAGACAAATCGTCAGGACGTCGAGTGACATTTGCAGGGACGCCACTCAACTTTTTTC